GGGGGGGGGGGGGGTAGCACCCCCCTGCACCCCCCAGAAAATCCGTCTATGCTTTTAAGTACTTTTAATAATACGAAAAACATATAGTTCATTTTGTTTAACCTTATTTGGTTCGCGCGCGTGTTTCCACGCAAGGACACTTTGGCGAGATATTTTGTGATTTGTGAAGCGAAAAATACAATCTTTTGTAAACGATAGTGAGTTATTTCTTTGTTGTCAGGTTCTTTGTTGTCAGAGTTTGATTCCTAAAATACGCAGTTTTCTAATAATTTTCCTTTGACACTTGTGCAAAACATCAGGTCAGTCCACTGAACACATGAAATTTTCTCATGGTATTCCGGTGTCCCAGGAAATTTGGCCCCCCAAAATATGCCCCCCCCCCTTGGAAATTTGGCCCCCTCCAAAACATAGTTTACTTTATCGCTATAAGCTCGGAAATCGTGAAGCTTCTTCTAAAACCAAGATCCTAAGTGTTTGTCAGTATTTATAGTTAGTATAATTTATTTGTGTCGAAATTCTTCATTGCGGCCAAGAGCAAAAAGTTTGAAGGGAAGCGTAATAATAATGTGCTAGTGCAGTCCGTGCCAGACACATCACACATGGGTATCTGTAGAGGACAACGTTAATGGATAATGGCTTAGTTTTCAGCAGCGAGTCGTGGTAGATGGAATTGTGACGGATTTTCTAGATATCAACAGAGGAGTACCACAAGGAACTGTCATTGGCCCTTTCTTATTCTCACTCATGGTCAATGATATTAATCTCGAAGATCCCGAGAGTAATCGTTTGATTAAGTTTGCGGACGACTTGACTGTTAGTGCTCCTGTGAAAACTACTGGAGATTCAGCAGCTAGCGAAGTAAGGAACATTAAAGGATGGGCGAGTGATAATAGGATGACTCTTAATATGTCTAAAACGTGGGAAATGGTTGTTTGTGGCAGAACAACGAAGCCATTACCGCTCCAATTGGATGGTATTGAGCGCAAAAACTGGTTGAAACTTCTCGGAATGGCTTTTCAGGACGACCCTTGCTGTTGGGATTTACAAGTCGACACCCTCCTATTGAAGGCTGCTAGCCGTATGTACATCCTTAGAGTTTGCAGATCCTATGGTTATACAAAGGAAAACTTAAACCTATTGTTTGAAACTCTAATTCTATCGTTGTTCCACTACGGAATTGAAGTTTGGGGATCCGCTCTACAAAATATCTACAACGAAAATTCCTCAGACGAGCTTATCGATTTGGGTATACCTTGAAGGAGTATGAAATAACACAACTGGTTGAGGAGAAGGACAAGGCCTTATTTGCAAAAATTGTGAAAGATCCGGATCACGCCTTACATAACCTACTCCCAGAAAAGAGAACCAGAACTTTAAGAGAAAGAAAACACTCTTTTGTTCTACCAATGATCAAAACTGAACGTTTTAAACGCTCATTTTTAAATAGATGCTTATTTGACTATTTTTAATAATTAGCTATTTTAACTTTTTTAATCACTATAAAATAATTCTATTGTAATTATACTTTTAATCATTGTAATTGTAATTTAACTCAATTGGAATTGTAAAGGCACACGTTTGTTGTGCCTCCTTCCTATTTAATAAAGACTTAATAATAATAATAATGACACGAAACGATTTTTAGAGATAGGAATTTCTACGATATTACAAGTGATTTAGATCTAAATTCAGTCACGTAGTATAAAATTAGTCAGAATAACAACCGCACTTTAGCAAACGATGACATCATGCGTTGGCAAATATGTTAATATGCACGCGTCTAATAAATAACAGGGAGTAATTAGCATTAGGCCTTTTTAGGGTAAAAGTAGACTTTTAAGTGGAAATGAGTGGTTATTTCGTAAAAAAAACTTTTCCTATGCATTTTATTTACATATGCACAGTATATATAATCACTCATGTGGTTGGGATGCATTACAGAAGCATTCCGTAAAAACAAAAGTAGACTGCATGCTTCCGTCATAGCTCACAAAAACATTCCGCACACACAAAAGCACAATTTAAAGGTTTGTACAAAGGTTTGTATTCAAACCTTTGTGCTTTGTATTCAAACCTTTGTGTATTCAAACCTTTGTGCTTGCATGGCTCTCCATGCTGGCCCACTTATAGGCTTGATATGAACTAGGCAATTCATATGAAGCCTATAAGTGGGCCAGCATGGAGAAGGAACTTATCTCACTCATTAGTGGCAATTCAGTGAGCTAGCATGGTTCCCTTGTGAATGCTCGGCTAATATGAACAGCCCCTCAATAAACGAGAGAGAAATGGCAGGAAAACTCATTTCATAATTATAATACACAATTGGCAGCAAAACAGTCTTAATATTATCTCCCAAGAGCATGAATAAATTATGGAAAATTTAAATATTAGATTTCAAGGTCCAAACATATGGAACTCAATTGATGAATCGATTAAATCTGCAAACCTTAGACAATTTTAAACGCAAAATAGATTTAATACCTGTATTTACTATCTTTCCCTTTTCTTTCTTTCCATACTATCCACCAATTTCCAAAATTATTTTATTAAGTCCAGTTCTATTTTAATTTCTTTATACATATTTTATTTGTTTTATGATCATCTATTACTTATATCGCTAACTTGCCAACTACATAGCTAATATGACTAGTTTTTATGGTGTATTGCTATTACTTGGCTTCCTGACTCGTTTAGCTTTTCAGTTATTTCAGGGCGACCATGGAGGGTACAAAATATAGTTGTAAAGTTGTAGATTAAGTGATCACAATATCAGTAATTTAACCTAAGTAGAGGCAAACCAAGCTAATGTACTCAACCCTTATGCCATGGCTACAATTTGATTTCCTTGCCTAAAATTTCATTACCTTATATGTATCATAATACACATTTCCTCTATTTAGCCCCCCCCCCCCCATCTAATAAGTCCCCAGTCCAGGAGTGCTGAAAAGGAATAACCCCCCACCCTCTATCAGACCTCATACCTCAATCTCAATACCAAGGGTGGGTAGTAGCGAAGTAGTTGTAGTTCGCTACTGTAGGGAACTACTATTTTCAAGTAGCCAATAGTTTTTAACTACTTTTTTAAAACAGTAGCTGTAGTTGTAGCCAAGTAGTTGACTACTTTTCAAACAACGAATCGCTATTCGCTACTTTTTAAAATTGTTAGCAACTTGATAGAATAGCATGATATTGAGACACGGTTTGCTTAAAATCAATACTCATACGATAGTCAATTTACATTCCTGAACACTGTAGTGTTTACAAAAATGTTTTTTTTGTGTTTACTGTTGCTAGTCGTAAGTCGATTTGTTATAGGTTACATTACAGCCTGAGTTAGTAGATGCTCCAAATACAGTAAAACTAAATATTAATGTAGTGAAATAGCGAAATAGTTCGCTTTTTTTTTTTTTTTAAGCAGTAGCTGTAGTCAGTAATTAATGAAGATTAAAAAAAAAATAGTACGGTTAATGACTTTTAAAAGTTATTTTGAACACACTGAACCAATTTTTCAAGAACTGCAAATTTTGAATATCTACAAAGTAAATGATTACTTAACAAGTCTATTTATGTTCAGATATTTCCATCTGCAAAATTTGCCAGAAATCTTCACAAATTATTTCTTGACTAATAAAGAAATCCATAACCACAACACTAGAAATTCATCATCTTTGCACAAAAAATGCTACAGAACAAATTATACAAAACATACTCTTGCCAATAAGGGAACTGATGTTTGGAATAATCTTCCCACACAATATAAGAAAATCCAATTTTATGGTAATTTCAAAAAAACTATAAAAAAGTACTTTCTGCATTTAATTGCTTCAAGTTAACATTTCCACTTCACCAGTAAAATGTTTGTAAATGTAAATATATATAAATATATATATCCCGTTCTTCATTATTTGTTAAAAATCTATTTTTCTCTTTCAAATGTAATACAACTCCAGCTTACTATTTTACAGTAATGTATT